CAACCAAAGCTACTGTCTTTATTTTTGTTTACTATTTTTTTTAAAAAAGATTTATTTATTTTCTTTATATGCGTACACTGAAACTGTTTTCAGACACACCAAAGAGATTCCATTACAGATGGCTGTGAGCCACCATGTGGTTGCTGGGAATTGAACTCAGGACCTCTGGAAGAGCAGTCAATGCTCTTAACCACTGAACCATCTCTCCAGCCTGTGTACTGTCTTTATTTTAAAAGATTTATTTTATGTATTTTGCCTGTCTGTATGTATGTGAACTTCATGTGTGCCTGGTGTCCATGGAGGTCAGAAGAGGGGATCTGATCCCCTGAAACTGCAGTTAGGAATGGCTGTGGACCACCACATGGGTGCTGGGAACTAAACCAGGGTCCTCTGCGAGATAAACAAGTGTTTTTAACAGCTGAGCCCTCTCTCCAGTCCCCTGGGTACTGTCATGGCTTTTCCACTGTGAACAATGATTTCTCACAAGTCCAGAGGCTGGTGGCGTGAGGTCACGACGTGAGGTCACATGGCTGGGTTCTTCCCAGTTATGACACAGACACAGAACTTCCCGTTGAGCCATCACGTAGTACAGAGATGAAAGAGCTCTCTGGGCAGAAGTGGGGGAAGGGCTTCCTTTGACAATTTCTTAGAATCCCGTTTATCTGTGTTGTGGGGAGCACATGTGGAGGGCCGAGAACAACATACTGAAGTGGTACGTCACCAAACTTAGGTTTCTCCAGTGGCCTCGAGTCACAGAAGAAACCAATCATGAACCGGAGACCCTTCTACTGTGAGTCAGAGTAAACCTTTCCTACTCAGGAAGTTGGGGGGGCAGGAATTCACGTAGCCTGGGACATATGAGATGCGGTCTCATCCTCTCCCTGAGTTCTAAACCTTTTCTCTTTATAAGTTTATAACTTCCAGTATTTTGTTACAGTAACAGAAAGCTGGCCAATATAGGCACTAATTCCATTTATGAGGTCTTCACCCTCACGACCTAGGTACCTCGCCAAGGCTCACCTCCCCATATCAGCAATTGGTAATTCAAGTTTCTTGTGTGTTTGTTTGAATTATGTAGCTAGCCTTCAATGAGCTCTCTAAGTTGTCATGGATGGCCTTGAACTCCTGATCCTCCTGTCTCACCTCTCCAGTGCTGGAATTGCACTGGCATGTAGCATCACATCTGGCAGGCAATTAGAATTTCAGCACATCGATTATGGGAGGACACTTCTAGCCCCTAATAGTCACATTTGGTAAAACTGAGTCTGGAAGTTCAGGCCTTTGCTTTGAGCTCTTTGCTCAAAGACAAGAACCAGAGATTCATTCAGTCCCATTGCCTCTCCATATCACCACCTAGTTTTGAAGGATCCTCCCACCTGGGGCTCTTGAAGGCAAGCTAGAGCTAAAGAGGGTGGCTGAGACAGAAGGAACACCCAGAGGTCTGTGGGCTTGTTTCTAGGCTTCACTCTGACTTCTGTGTGGCTTTAGATACGTGTAGATTCTTCTCTGGAAGCTGTGTGACCTTGGACAGGGCATAGCCCTCTCTGGGCCTGCAGTCCTCTGAAACAGCCAAACAAGGAAAGGTGTTTGTGCTATTTTGTAGCTAGCCATCAGGAGTCAATAGCCCCAGGAAATTATGTCAGGAGGGAGGAGAGGAGCAGGGTAGGGACTCCCAAGGATGGGCACAGGGGATATTTTGAGGCAGGCAGATCCCCCCACGTCACTGCTGGACAATAGTCTGGGGGGAATCATTGTGTTGTGAGTGGAAAGTTCTTTTTTGACTCCATGGTTGACAATAGTCCAACATAGTGGGAGGAGACCCTGGGGACAGGGTTTGGTCCAACAAATGACTGGCTCATTGTTCCTGGCTGGGACAGAGCTGAAACAGGACACCCAGATGGGCTGGTGCAGAAACCAGGGCAAACTCCAGTAGCTCTTTCTGAACAATGACAAACTAGATGGAGCAAGTTGTCAAGCATGGGGAAACTGAGGCCCAGAGAACAGACACAGTTTGCCCGGATCCTGTCAACATGGGTAGAGGGAGGTGGGTTTTGACCCTTGGGCTCCATTCTTCTTTCTCTGCCCCTGGGACAGCTCAGCCTGCAGCCAAGTCAGCCTGGCTACCCTGCCCCCCTCACCTACAAAAGCAGTCTACTGTGTGGTACTGTGTGGCATTGTGTGGCAGCAATGGAATCCTTTACCTCTTGGTAGGCTTGCAATCCTTACAGGACAGCTGTTGTGCCTTGATGATGTGGACCCTTAATGCTTTGACAGAAGAACCAGAACCCAGAAGCAACACCTCCAGATTCACCCAGAAAAGGCAAGTGGAGTGCCTCAGGTCACACAGCAAAAGCTGCCCATTTGTTACCTTCTATGACCCACCTCCAGGTCAGTGCTTCCCTTCCGGGTCTCAGGGTACTTGATGGAATGGAGACGTGCACACACGGATAGAATGGTGGGCACATACAGTCAGGGGATGGTAGGCAAGCCCACTCTGTGGGTGGATAGGATCTTTCTTTTCCTCTTCTCCCTCTCACTATCTGCTATCCCCCTTCTGTTGCCATTTTCAGGGAAAGGCCTGGACACACACATAGGCTTGTGCACCTAGAACCCACTCAATGCCAGGCAGGATAGAACTAAGACCAAATTTTAAATAGGATAGACCTGCAACCTTCCTTCTGCAGCTTGTGGGGGTGGAGATTTTGGCCTCAGGGTCCCAGTCACTTACTGACCAGGCTCTGGGAGGGCTAGGTCCAAGGGCTAATCTCTATGTTCCCTAGCAGTATGTGTATAGAGTTTTCTATGTGGCTGACACTGGACTAAGTGGCATGCGTGCATGTGTGCACGTGTGCGTGTTTGTGCATGTGTGTGTGTGTATGCACATGCAGTCTGAAATAAGCCTCCTAAGAGCCTGCATGAGAGGTTGTATCTCACTGAGATGAGAAAAGTGAGGTGCTGTGAGATGAGCCATGCCCTTAAGGGACTATGTTGGAAGAGTAGGTGTGACTCTCAAACCTAGTCTGTGTGCTGACCCCACTCCCCACTACCCTGACTGCCTGGGTCTGAGTCATGGAGAAGAGCACGGATAGACCCTCCTGACCTGTGGCAGTGTGGATGCTAGAGAGTGACTGGGGACCTTTGGAGATATGAACTCTTCCTTGACACAGCCTTAGCTGTTACCTGCTGCCTACCTGGACCAAGCCTTCTTTTAACTGCTATCTGCTGTTAAATAGCACCAATAACATCGATCTCACAGACTGGGTGTGAAGGATAACTAAACCATGTGGGAGACACAGGCCAGTACAGGAGTTCCAGCCTCCGTAACCCGTTCAAAAACATAAGCCCACATCTGCCATGATGAGTGTAGATGGCTCTGGGGTGGTAGCTGGCATGTACCAAGGCTGGAGCGACCAGGCGTGGACATGTCTGGAAACTTTTCTGATCCTGGAGGACAAGGGCATCATCTATAGTCACACACACCCCACCCCCATCCATCCAGGCATTCACATGGATACTGAGCACACAGTGACTTGCTCCCAGGAAGCTTTCTTTGAATCACTGCATGCAGATTTCATAGGACACAGGGCCTAGGGGACAGGAGGGCCACTCTCGGTTACTTGGTGTTCACTGAGAACAACAGCTGTAGGCAGCAGTAAGCGTTTACCCTGCTTGTCCAGCCTGTCCCATCTGTTTTTCCTGTGTTAAGTCCCTGATCACAGTTCTCCAGCTTTGGGGTGGTGGGAGGGCACCTGACTGTTCAGGGGGCACAGGACACTCAAAAAGTCACTGACCTATACTGGAGGGGGTGGCACAGTAACAGAAGCAGCCCAAGCCCCTGGCTCATGCCCGGGAACCACAGTGACCTTGGACATGGCCTCTCCTCTCTGTGGCCTTGATTCTGCAGCTGGGATGGACAACCCTTGGGCTCCTGTCTAGTGGTCCTGTGGCTCTTGTGCCCTTTCACAGTGGCCTTCAGGACCCTGCATCCCTGGGATGTGGTGTGAGGGTGGGGGGTGGGCAGGGAGACTGGGAGGATGAGAGGAGCTATTTTGAGCATAGGCAGGTCACCTCACGTCACTGCTGGACAATGGTCCAGGGTTGGTGGAAAATCTTGGTCTTAACTTGGGCTGAAAATAGCACCAGGCAGAAGGGTCAAGAATCTTACCCTCCAGGCAAGTGGCCTGGATGCTGGTCACCACGGGAACAGGCAGTCTGATTGGCTTCTGGAGGTAGGACCATAGGCCTATCCCTGGTTCCCTAGGAAGCATTACTACCCATGGCTGCCACAGAGCTAGGTAATAAGAAGTGTTCCGAGGCCCTGTGTCCTCGGAAACCTGCATGCAGTGGTTCAAGGAAGTTCCTGTGAGGAAGCCACAGTATGGTCTCCATGCATGAGGAAGCCACAGGATGGTCTCCATGCATGAGGATGCTGAGATCTGCGGTTTCTAGAGCAGCTGGGGTGTGTGTGGAAACTAGGGGGACTCTGGTGAAAACAGCCCTATCCCCTACCAAGGGTGAACACTGAAGGCCCCTCCAAGTCACGATGTGCGTCTCTGCCTCCAGGTTTCAGCACAGCTCAGGGTTTTTCTGTAGGAAGGGTCTGCCCATAAACTGTCTGAGCCCTGTCTGTGCAGGGTTAGAGAGAGATCGGTTCAGGCCTAAAAGAAAGACCCAGGACGTTCTACAAGTGGAAGTTACCAAAGCTCAGAGGGACTCCAGGCACATAAACTGTAGTATGAACATAGAATGTGTGGGGTGGGCATCTCATGCTCTTCTGGGCAGATGACTATGAATTACACACTGCAGAATAATTAGTTGTGTCCTGGCCTGTGACGGCTCCTTGTCATTGGTGGTGCTCTGGAGGTAAGCTGTATAAAGAGACTGTGCTCATAAAGTACTTCTTGGGAGAGCTGTGATCAGTCCTTTGAGCCCAGGAATTCTAAGTACTCTGAGCCACATCTCAAGACCCCAAATCAAAGCAACAAAATGCACAAAGAGCAGTTGGGGGTGTCTCAGCTTTAATGGCTGAGAGGGGAGAGGGGACAGAGAGGAGGTAGAGGTGGCCCAGTCCACTTTCTTGCATTCTAGGGACGCTTCCTGACCAGGGCTCTTCCCAGTTAGTCAGCATGGCTCGTGCTGAAGTACTCCTGCATCTGCTTTTAAGAGCCAGTTGTCGGACAGGTGTGGCATCTGCCTGTAACCCTAGCGCTTTGTCGATGGAGGCTAGAGGGTAAGGAGTTCAAGGTCAGCTTCAGCTACATGGCAAATTCCAAGGCCGCCATTGGTTACCCGAGACTCTACCTAATCAGCAACACTACCCTCCCCCACAAGCCCGGGGGAAAAAAGAACTAGTTGATTTTTCAGAACTTTTGTAATGGTTTTGCCACTGTTTTGGTAATTTGAAATTGAAATAGGATTGGCCACAGTGGGATTGATTGCACCACAACAACTGGCAGTGTTATAAATAAAAGCTCCCCCCCCCCGCCCAGTTCAGTTAAATGGTTCGACGTTTACCAGCACATGCGAGGTTTTGTGTACTGGGGAACCCCAAGAACTAGAGCCCGATTTGACTCCTTTCCATGCCTGGCATAGTACAATACAGAAGACAAGTGGCTTAAAAGCAGGGTTGACCTGGGGGACTGAGGAGGGATCCCCGGTTCAAGACTTCCTATTACTGAAAGAAGGCAGTATGGGTGGCGACAGCTTCCCAGGCCATGCCCCAGAGCACAGCCCAAAAGGTGGCACAGCCCTTCATATAAATTATGGTTTCCACCTGCTGCCAGCTCAGGGGAGGCTCCAGACGGATCTGACAGTAGTTCTCAGTTGTTTGCCCCCTGGCCTGAGGGTTCTCCTCTGAGCTGAGTCCGTCCTACATCACCATGGGAACAAGGGTCCTCTAGTCACCTTGTGATTCCACTCCTAATCCAGGTAGCTAGCCTGGACTCTTGCGTCCTCTCTGGGCCTGCTTCTCCCTTGGATTTAGGAGGCTGAACCTCAGCCTACGTACCTTGGCAGGAATGGCAGCTGTCTGCATGGGAGTCAGATGGCATTGCCTTTCTTAAGATATGATTTCCCAACTCACACACATAAATGATTGGGGATTTTGGGGTCCTGTTACTCTTGGGACCACAAGATGAGTATCCTGAACCCCTGCCAAGGGTGAACTGTTGATGATCCGGATCGGAGGATATCAGCCCCTTTGAACAAGCCTTGGTCCCCTACAGCTCCCCTGTATGAACTGACACCTGACTGAGGTGCTATAGCCGAATGTCCTTAGTCTCACTTGCAGCTGGTGTGGACTCTGTCCGTCTTGAGTCATCACTGCTGATTGACAGATCTTTCCTTACAGTGTCAGTTCTGTTAGGTCGGTGCAGACCCAGCTTGCGACGAGCCTGTGGGCTGGGAATAGGCTCTGTGGGTGGCTTGGCATCTCGGGCAAAGCGGACAAGTCTCTGCCCTGCCAGGAAGTAGAGCACAGGGTCAAGGCAACTGTTGGCACTGGCCAGTGGCCGGGTGATTTTATATGCCATGTTGATGGCGTTGAGGGTGTGGCAGCTGAGGTCAAGTGATCGGAAGGAGTAGTAGAGGGTGCGGGTGACGTGGAAAGGCAGGAAGCAGAGGGCGAAGACCGCCAGTACCAAGGCAATGGTGCGCACAGACTTGCGCTTGGCCCGAGGCAGACCTCCTGTGGTCCCATAAGCTGGTTTGAGCAGCCGCCGGGCCATGAGCACGTAACAGACCAAGATGATGGAAAAGGGCACAGCAAAAAGCAGACCCAGCATGACGGAGCTGTAAGCCACAAAATGGCTAAAGAGCTCGCGGGCTGAGGTGTCATGGCAGGTAATTCGAGTCCCCCGTACGCTGGTGGTGACGAAGTAGAGCACGGGTGCCTGGCAGGCGAGCACCAGTACCCACACAACCGCAGCCACTCGGCGGGCATAGCGGGCACGGCCCCAGCGCAGGGAGTGCAGAGGGCGGAGGACCCCCAGGCACCGGTGCACGCTGATGCAGGTGAGGAAGAAGATGCTGCAGTAGAGGTTGGTGTAGAAGAGGAAACGCACCAACTTGCAGAGCACTATGCTAAATGGCCAGTGGTCACCCTTGGCGTAGTAATAAACCAGCAGCGGCAGGGAGGCTGCGTAGAGAGAGTCAGAAACTGCCAGGTGAAACATGTAGGTGGTGGAGGCGTTCCAAGTCTTGAGGCGGCACAGGAAGATGTAGAGAGCCGCGACGTTCAGGCACAACCCAAGCACGCACACCACGCCATAGGACACGGGCAGCAGCACATACTTGAAGTCCTCGTTGAAGCGACACTTGTAGCCCAGTTCGTCCCCCTCCCAGGTGCCATTGACGGTACTATTCCAGGGGTCCAGGTCTTCTGCCATTGCCCTGCAGGGAAGGGAGATGTGGAAGGAAAGCTGTCACGACTGGGCTCAAACGGGGAGGGAGCTTATTAAGATTTGCCTAAGGCTAGAGGTATAGCTTGTTGATAGAACACTTGGCTGGCATGCAGGAGGCCATGGGTTCATATCCCATCAACACACAGACTAAAGATTTGCCTAAGCCAGATGTAGTGGCCCGCTCCTACAATCCCAACACTTAGGAGGCAGAGGTAGGAGAATTATGAGTTGAAGGCTTGCTTGGGCAGCCTGGGCTACATAGTAAGTAAGACCTTGTCTGAAAAATAAACAAACAGAACAAAGCAACCCAAAGACTATATCATCATCATCAATAGCAACAACAAAAACAACCACAAAGAAAAACTTGTTAACCCAAATCAAGGCTTCCCCCCACCCCCAAGACAGGGTTTCTCTGTATAGCCCTGGCTGTTGTCCTGGAACTCATTCTGTAGACCGGGCTGGCCTCAAACTGACAGTGATCTACTTACCTTTGTCTCTGTCTTTTGAGTACTGGAATCAAAAGTATGTACCACCACAGACCAGCTCCAAATCAAGACTTGTCATGTGACCTGCATCCCCTCCTACACCCAGAATCTCCTAAAGCCCCCAAAACTTGTGAGATCCGTGAAAACTAACATCACACAATTCTGACTTCACAGCAGGGTGAGCCAAAGATAGTCTAAGGCTGACTCCAGCCCACCAGCCTGTTTTTGTAGGAGAAGCTGTATTGGAACACAGCCACACCCATCTGTTGAGTTGAGCAGTTCTGATCAAGACCACATGTTCTCCAAAGTTTAAAATATTTACTCTTGAAGGCAGTGACACCCCTTGCTCTAAACCTCTGCATCAGATAGTCCAAGACTGAGGAATCAGAGGTTTGGGACAGAGATCTGGGCTTCCAGAGGGGTATAATTTCAGATTATAGGAAGTAACCTCAAGATTGACCCTCTGCTGCGCCCCACTGCCCACTGAGTTTCTCTGGTCTGCACATCCAGCATGCCCAAGTTTCAGCTTTAAAAATCCATCTTCTAGTCCCTGGGGACTGGAGAATGTTCAAGGGTCTCCTCCTTCCATCAGCCAGTTTTTTGTGCAACTTCCTTCTTAGGTTTTTAACTTTTATTTTATGTATATGAGTGTTTTGCTTGTGTCTATATCTGTGCACCAGGTATGTGCCTGGTGACTGCAGAGGTGAGGGGATTCACCAGAACTGAAGCTATGGAAAGCAGTGCGCTCTCTGTGGGTACCGGTAACAGAACCCCAGTCCTCTGCAAGAGCACAAATGCTCTCCAGCCCTTGTTCAACTTTTTTGTTTTGTTTTTGTTTTGTTGAAGCAGGGTTTCTCCAAGTAGCCCCACCTGTCTGAAACTCCCTCTGGAGAGGAGGCTGGCCTCAAACTCACAGAGATCTACCTGCCTCTGACTCTCAAGTTCCGGCATTAAAGCTGTGTGCCACCACTGCGTGGCTCAGCTTTTTTCTTTTTTAAGTGTTACTGCTATATTCTGGCACTTTCTACATCTAAAACAGCTATCTTGTTCTCCGTCTCTGAGGGGACAACCAGACGGGGCAGTGACCTTCCTGGAGAGCCCAGGGGAGTCTGGAGTTGCTGTGGGATGAGGGAAGGAGGGGTGATTCTTTGGGGGAGAAAGTTTAGCTCTTCTGGGCCTTCCCTGGTACCTATTGCACTGGATGCCTTTCCACTGTCTGTGTGCCTTGTACTTTGCTCCTATTCACAGGGCCTGGCCAGCCAGGGTACAACGAGTGCCTGGAGGGCAGGTGGTCACCACCCCGCCTCTGCATTCCACCCTGTAGCCACTAAGAGCTCTTTCAGATCAGAGTGAGGAGGCCCACATCTGCCATGCCAGAACTCAGGAGGCTGAAGCAGGAGTAGAAGACGTTTTGAGACAGCCTGGTTACATAGAAAGTCTGTCTAAGAACAGTGGGGGCCTGGTGAAATGATTCAACCTTTAGGTAAAGTCTCCTGCTGCCAAGACTAATGGCTTGAGGCCAAGGCAAGCATCCCACATTGTAGAAGGAGGGACTCTCCCAAGTGGTCTTCTGATCTCCACATGGGCACTGTGGCACATGTGCACCACAGACATACACTCAAAATAAACAAGCATCGGACATCACAGATATGAAGTATGTACATGAAAAAGAAAAGGGCAAGTCTTCCTGGGCTAGGGTAGAAAGTTTTATTTTATTTATATGAGTACACCGTGACTCTCTTCAGACACACTAGAAAGGGGTGTCAGATCCCATTACAGATGGCTGTGAGTTGCTGGGAATTGAACTGAGGACCTCTGGAAGAGCAGTCAGTGCTCTTAATCACTGAGCCATCTCTCCAGCCCTAGAGTAGAAAGTTTTATCCAAAGGGGCCCAAGGCAAGACTTGACCTAATATGATGTGGTAAACAGTGAATAATCAGCTTCTTTTATCTTCGTTTTCCTGAGCTAATAATGTAGTGTGGCTACAAAGAGCAAGATTATGTGGCTAAATCTTATTCTATTAGACAGAGTCAAATTAAATTATAAAAACTTTTGATTTATTTATTTTATGTATATGAATGCCTTGCTTGCATGTATGTACCTATGTACATGTGCGTGTCTAATGCCTGTAGAGATCTGCAGGCAGGTTAGGATCCCTGGAACTGGAGTTAGGATTGGTTGTGAGCCACCATGTGGGTGCTGGGTCCTCTACAAAAACAGCAATCACTCTTAACCACTGAGCCATTCTTCAGCTCAGAAATATGAATCTTAAAATGTTTGCGTATGAGTTTTTGCCTGGATATACATGTGCTAAGTCATGCAGGCTGAAGAAGGCATCCGATTTCCTGGAGCTGGAGTTACAAATGGTTGCAAACTGCCAAATGGGAATAAAGCCTGGGTCCTCTGCAAGAAAAATGCTGGTCCATCTCTCCAGCCCCAAGAAATCGTATATTTAACAGCAGAAGTGTTTTTAAACTGTAGTATTTCTCCTTTGGAAGCACTGTAGGGAATTCTTTGCCTACTTTTTCGCAATAAATCTACATTCTCTCTGTCTAAAGGGAAGCAAAGCAAAAATGACGATAGCAACATCACTCTCAGCTGCAGGCCGGGAGCAGGGACCAAAGGACACCTGGACTGAAAGGCATAGCAGACTGAACATGAGGGTCCCAGCTAAGAAGCCCTCCTCCATCTCAGGGGTCAGATCCCAGCCTGGGAGAATGGTAGTGCCAAACCTCCCCTCAGAAGGAGCTCTGGCCCACTGGAGAAAGGGAGAGGATTCTTCTAATCCATACACCCTGTCACGCCTGCACGGCTGCTCCATTCCTGCCCATCACTGCTCTCCACCTGGTCAGCTCTCTAGTCAACTTCACTAGTTCCCTGCTGTTCCTTGCCCATGGAATCTCTGACACTAAAGGGCAGGGTGGAACTTCCTTGTCCCCAGAACTAAGGAGCTTCCCTTTCCACCTGTTTTAAGACATCCTGGCCTCTGCCCTCCAGGCCAGCTGGGAACTCTATCACAATGGCACTGTTACAGACTGATGTCTGTCCTCTCCTTCCCTGGGGCCAACTCACTAGCCTGTAAAGCCGTCTTGCTAGCCCTAGCCCTCTCCTTTAGCACCAATCAATGATCTCAGCTCCATGGAGACTGTTCCCGCTGTCTCAGTCACTGGTCCTCTCACACTGGCTGGCTCTGCTATGCCCCGTTCTTGCTGGCTGTGTCCCAAGAACTCCCAGTTTAATGGAAAAGTAAACCAACCCATTCAGGCCTCATTATCTTTGTTAACACTGTACGGACTGTCCCAAAAACCTTTCCAGAACGATCTTCCCATCCATTTCTCTAGGCTCCTTCTCAGTCACTGGAACTTTCTCAGTTCACCAGCCCGTCAAGCCTTTTCTCCATCCTGGTAGTAATCTGTCTTTCTACTCCCTCCTCAACATATTTCTTTGAGGACAGGATCCATGTGATGATCTCCGTACCTATCACCCAGCAAGCAGCCCAACCTGCAAGTAGTTGTTGTGAGAAAGAAAGGATGAATAGATGGATGGGTGAATGATGTGCTGGAGGCCGTGGGAACCCAGAGGAATGAGCACAAGAGTCATGGGGCCAGCCCACTCAAGCCCTTCTCCTGCCCTAGAGGGATCCTTACACTACCTCTTGTTCAACCCTGATACCATCCGGAAGACCTTGCCCTGTTTTGCCATCCTTGGCCTTCTAAAGCCAGGGAAACAGTCTGGTAATGTATTCTAGGGACTGGTCAGCAGGCTAAGGCAACCCCATGCATCACTTGGCCCATCTATGGCTCAGTTTCATCAGCTTCGTATCCTGCAGTCCCCTCTGCTACCCTCCCTGTTCAGTAGGGATCGGATTAGGTTTAAGCAGCAACCACAAGACAGCGGTCAGTTCCTGGTAAATATCTACACCAGCTATTTGCTTTGGTCATACTGGAAGGAATTGGAAAAACTAGGCTTGACACCAAGGGCTGTGTGGCTCCAGAGCCTGAATTCAGCAGAGCCTGGGATGAAGGAGCAGAGCAGGGTCCCTGCCTCGGGTCCCACTGACATAAGCAGAATTCAATGCACACACAAACAGAATGCCCAGCCTCCCAGCCAGTGGACCCGCCTCACACACCTGGACCTGATCAGCTCCTGCTCTTGGTGTGGTGAGGATGCTCAGCGCCTGCTCCAGTTCTTCACTCACATATGCACAGGCCTGGACCAGCTACTGGGACTGAGGCAGGAAACAGGAAGAACAGGTTCCCGGGCTTGGGCCCCCGCCCAGCCTCCAGCATTTCTCAAGGCAAGCAGCTGCCTGGAGGGCTCCTGCAGATACCCAGAGATGAGGAAGCAAGTGTGGGCTCAGACTCTGTCAACCAGGCAATGCTTTCTCTCTCTCTTCCTCTACAGATTGCCTTCTCTTCTTTAACTGTGGCCCCAAAGAAGCCAAGGGGCGACCTAGTGTGCTTGCCTGGTCACAATGCCCTCTGCACACCCACACACCCTGCAATCGCCTGCTAACTCATATGTTCCAGGAATGGGCTGTTACAGCCTCCCTCTCTGGCACCCCCTGTCACAGGAAGGAGGTGTTGTGGAAGATCTCCCCTGGTATTCTGCAGAGCTGAGCCAAGTCTCCAGGGTCCCTTCCTTTGATCCTGGTTCTGCACTTTAGCCCCACAGCAGGAAATGATCAATAGCTTCTTGGCCCATCATATACTGCACATGAATGCTAGCATACCTTTGTGCAGGATAGGTGTCTAACTAGAGTCCCCTAACTCTTCACTCCACATCTAGACATTCCTCCACAGGTGTCATCAATACACACATACACCACACCTGAATACACACAGGTACAAATGCACACAGACATCCAGAGCATGCACTTTCACACTCCTGTGTGCCTGCAGTGGGTGTATTGACACGCTCTAGATGGGGCCTGGTACGCCCTCTGGAAGCTACCTGTTCTGAATCCCCATTGGATGGAGGAGGAAACTCAAGGATGGAGCTGAGCTGGGAGCCCCTCACATACAGCAGGCATAGGGCATTTGGCATTTTCTAGAGAGAGGATAGCTGTCTAGTGGAAGGAATCCTCTGTGTGAACAGGTCCTAGTATCTACCAGAAGCTTCCTGAATAAGCTTTTTCTTTTAACACAGAGCTATACACCTCAGCTATCCATGTCAGGCTGATCTCACTGTGTAGCTGAGGATGACCTTGACTTTCTGATTCTTCTGCCCTTACCTCCCAAGTGCTGGGATTATAGGCATGTACCATCACATCCTGTTTCTGTGGTGCTGGGGTAGATAACCTAGGCTTCAAGTATGCTAGGAAAGCTTTACTAACTTAGACAGACAGACAGACAGACACACACACACACACACACACACATACACACACACAGAGTTAGTGCTATACCACTGAGCTATGCTTTCAGCCCCATGAATATCTTTTCCCATCTGCTTACTGTCTCAACAGTGGGGGAGTGGAGCCCCCAAGCTCCAGGTGTTTATAGGACAGCAGGAGATGGGTGGCTGCAAGAAGAAGACCAAGAGTGGGCCTGGGAAGTGGCTTCCAGCCACCGATAATTTGATACACCCAGCCCTGGCATCTTAGGTTGACATGGTCCAGACTGTGGGTTGCTATCTGGCTGTCTGCTCAAGGTCTTGGTGGAAAGATGAAAGAGCTCCCCTTTTCACCTTGCCTCACCCAGGTATATTCCCTGAGGTGTGTCCTCAGGAGGTGCCTAACCAACCAGCTAAAGCAGAACATGCCACGTTCCCAAAGGGCCTCCCCCATCCTTCTAGGTTGCCATGTCAACTCTCCACCCCATCAGATGCCTACCACTCACCAAGTCCTGCCAGTTCAACCAGAGCAGCTCCTTAGATGTACCTTTATGCCCTTTGCCCGAAGCAGACATAGGGCCAACCTTTCCCTCTGAACCCCTCAGCATCCTCCTTGTGGCAGTACTCACCTCCCTCTGCCCTGCCCTTCCAACCTTACTCTTCAGTCACATTCTCTTCTTGATGCCCGCCTTTGATCACACGACCACCTTGAGCTCAAACCCTCCATAGCTCCCTAGTGCCATCAGGTTAACGTCCAAGGCCCTCAGCTTTGCCCTCAAGATCCTAGCTGAACTGGTTCCTGCCACCCTACTAGAAGATGTGTCATCTTCACCTTCTCCCTCATCCTCCTGTCTCAGAACAACTGAAGCAGTAGCATTGTCCCTCTTGTTAGGTGACAGCTTCCCTCATCTTCCACCATCTGTCTCCTCTCGAGAGTTGAGCATTCTCTGTAACCATTTCTATGTTAGGTGGCTTCATAAGCCTCTTCATATTTAATCTGGAGGTTCCCACAGGCTAAAGTAACCTCCCAGAGCTACAAAAGTAGCAAATAGCAGAGTTCTGCTGTGCCCCTGACCACTACCTCCTACCCTGCAAGGTCCAAGTCCCATCCCCAAGGAGCCCCTGCCCACCCATCTTTGACTCCAAACTCCCAAGCTCTGGCTCTTTTCTCCATCTCCAGCAGAGGAGGTCCCAACCAGCAGAACCAGGGACGGATTCTTCAGGACTTCCCAACTGTGATGAAGCCAAGATGTACTCATTTCTCAGGTTAAAAAACTAAGACCTCAAAGTAGGAGGCTCAAGGTCTCATTCAAGAACCCCATAGAGTCAAAGACATAGCCAAGCCCAGCGGGTAGAGCCCCTTCCCCTGCTCTGGCCCTTCCCTGACTCCCTGCTTCTTTCTTACTAGTCTCAGGCTAGCAAGTAAAAAACCAAGAGGAGGAAGTGGCTCCTCCTCGGCTGGCAGCAGAATTTCCTGGGTGGTTAGACAACATTCCAGCTCCTTTGCTAGGGTGGCTCTGGAATGTGCCACCTGCTAGGCTGGTGGACCCTGTCCAGCCTGGCAGGGGAGACAGTTCTATCACATGCCAGAGACCCCTGCTACCCACCTGCCTTTGTCAGGAAGAGATTTTTAGAAGGGGAACTGAGGACCTGGACTTAAAACAGGATCAAGAGGCAGGAGAGAGCACAGGGTGGGAAGGGGATTCTGCCTTTCTCAGCTGATGGTTAGACAGGGCTGTCAACCCCCATAGCCCACATATCAGTCTCTTCTTAGTGAGACAACTTGCTTGTGAGCTGTTGAGATAGTTCAATAAAAGAAGTCACACTCACATTACAGAATAAGAGAGGAGGTTGTGTACGGCCGAGACAGGAGGGATGGGCTACCCCCTAAAGGATGAACAAAGCAAGTACTCCTGCAGGAATTATAGGGGTGGGAGTGGATGGCGGGTTACAGGGTGGGGATGGGGGACGAGGGACAAGGAGTGGGGATGTCCAGAGCCCTCTGCATTCTCCTCTGTCCCCAGGATTGCCCCTGCGCAAATTACCTGGTGACTCAAAGGTTACATTCTTCCCTAATCTCAAGAAGTTCACTGTCAAGGTCAGGGAGGCAGACCCAGAAACAGACAATGACAATCAGGGTGCCAGACTTGAAGGAAGCCCAGAAGTCCCTGCTGGGAAAGGAGGCCCTGGTGGTCGGGGAAGATTTCCTGGAGAAAAGATCACCTGACTTGTGGTTAGAAAAATGAGTAGGCATCAGGTGGGTGGAGAGATGAGTGAGCACAAATCTGGGCAAGATGGCCTGAACCACTAAGCACCCCTGTGGCCGAGCGAAGTACAGGGTAACAGAGGATTAAGAAGTCACTGTCTGTCCCTTCCCAAATGTCCTCCAAGGGGCTAGAGGACAGCAGTTCCCCTCTGTTGTGTCTGATATATTAATTATATCATGAGCACTGAGCAGAGGGGATAGTCTGAGGACACAGTTCAGGGGTGACTTCTGATGGTATCAGACGGTGTGTGTGTGTGTGTGTGGGTGTATGTGTGTCTGTGTGTGAATGTGTATGTATGTATAAGTGTGTGTAAGTATGAGTGTGTGTGTGTGTGTGTGTTATGAGGCCTCCCTTCAAGGAGGTCCCTGTCCTCTACAGTGCTTTCCCTAAACTTCCCAAGATCTCAGCTGTGGGAGCCACTCACTGAGGCTGAGAGAGCACCAAGTGCTCCAAGGTTAGGACTCCTAAGGAGAAAGGGCCTACCTAACCAGGGCAGGACTCCAAACCACTGATCCTAAACGGCCCATCTCAACTGAGTGCAGCACAGGACTTCAGAGATGGGCTGAATGGCTTCAGAAGGTCCCAGACTCCACCCTAGCCAATCACATCTGTATGCCTCTAGTGAGACCCAAGAAGCAAGAACCCTGGGTTGAGGTTCCAACTGGGAGCCTGTTACGCTGTACAGTCTGGGTCTAGTCAGATCTAGTCTCTGAGTGTAAGTTCCTACTGGTCAAACTGGAAAAGTTACAGATCCACAGGACAGCTCAGTAAGAATGAATAAGATTTGGGATTGATGGGGGTGGGGCCTACAGGGAGCAAGCTGTGTCCAGTCTTGACTTTCAGGCAATATCTTCCCCTTATGGCAGGGAAACACTGAATTCTCGGATCCTATAACACTGTTCATCATAGTGCCTGCCCTGGGCCTTCAATATTGTCAGAGGTTGTGGTCCAAGCTGTGATCATGTCTGGGAAGGAGCAGGTAGCATCCATCTTATGAGATGGGAGAATCCAGGTATCCATCACAGGATGCACAGGAGGCTATGGGATGGAAACTGTCTCCTCGGAGCACTTTTGAAATACACCCAGGCCAGCAGCTCTCAGAGTCTAATCCCATGAGTGCCTGAATCCCATGCTGTTCCTTCAGTTTGCCTGCTGGAGCAGGTGCTGCATCCAAAGTTCTGTTTCTGGGGCTCCAGAAAGCCTTTGGCTGAGATCCTCAGAACCCCAGGAGTTCGTGCTCAGAGTAACACAACCATAACCCACAGTCCCAAGAGCCACAAAGCTCTAGCATACACCCGCCAATGCCTTCAGAAGGGGAACACTTCTATGCCCCCTGAGGAGTGCCCAGTCAAGCTTTGGGAAAAGACCCAGGGATAGATAGGTCATTTGGGGAGATCCAAACATATCCAAAAAGGAACCAAGGGACTAGGAACTGAGGGGCCATGGAGTCAGGACAACTTGTGTCTTGGGGAGGTGGTCAGGGGAGGCTCTCCCCATGGAGCTGGACCTTAATAGATAACCTGGGGTTGTGAAGAAGACAGGGAAGAGAAGGGAGGAAGCCCAAGCCAGACTCAGTGGGCGAGGGGACAGGCTGTTGAGGAAGTGCCAGTAGGTCACGAGTGGCTGGCTTAGAGGGTTAGGTGGCATGGGATGTGTGGGGGCCAAAGAATTCATTTGAAAAGGCTCAAATGCCAAGCCGAGAGCTTATTCTCCAGATTAAGAAGGGAAAGCATTCTCAGAGTTTACAAAGATGGTGCTACATGGAAGGTGGTTAGCACCGGGGAGTTTGGAGGGTAGGGGACCTCTGTATTTATTATGACACAAGCAGAATAACTAGCTCTTGCTTTGAGACTCCCTGTCAGCCCCCTTCCCAACTCAAGCCCAGGCTTGGCCAAAGTTCTATTACAAAGTCTCTGGAACTGGAGGCTAGGCACTCTTCAGGAGACAGTATCTATACAAGCCAGAGGGAGGCCTAGTGCCCAGGCCTCTCTTCTTCAGTGGCAGGGATAGGATGACAAAATGGAGGATCCAGTTGGGTGCAGCAGGGTCTAGGATGTGACTCTCTGCATCAGAGAATATTGCTACTCATTCTATAGAAAGACTGAAGTATGCCTTACGGTCTGGGTGACAAGACAATAGAGGGTGCCTAGCCTCAATTAATCATACATCTACCCTGCATCTTCCACACTTAAGGCTCAGGGAACATCATGGAAGAGGAAGAAGACAGACTATAAGAGGCTACCCTCTCATGGGACTGAAGGACTAGGATGTAGATCAGTTGGTAGAATGTTTACCTAGACTGCAGGAAGCCCTTGATTTAATTGCCAGCATCAAATATAATGGGTGCATGCCTACAAGCCTAGCATTCAAGAGGTGGAGGCAGGAGGATTAGAAGTTTAAGGTCATTCTACAGGCTGAGTTCAAGGTCAGACTAGGCTATATAAGACTCTGTCCTGGAGCAGGGGGGCCCACACTACAGTGGCTCTTCATGAATCAAAGACTTTCTCTTCTGAACAGCCACAGCCCCTGGTTGCTCATTTCCCAACTACTCCCTGGCACCTGCTATGTGCTGGATAATAAGGACAAGGTGAGAAAGAGATGGCCTGGATTCATAACACAACTAACCAGCTTCTCTACAGAGTAAGGAGGGTCTTGCATCTGTGTTCTTTCCATTAGGCTCTTCTGATGGCTTAGGGACCCAAAGGCATCTCAGGAGGAAGCGATGGGTTATAGAGTGCACAGACAGGCCTAGGGAAGGCAGTTAGGAGAGAGAAGAGATGCACCAAAGGGCACTTCTTACTCAGCAGGTCAGCAAGATCTTCCTGGTCCTGTGAGCAGACCTGGAGATAATGGTGGTTATCCTGTAAACAGCTGGGCAATTAGGCCACAAGAAAGGCCCAAAGAAAGGCTCTTGGGGACAGCCTTTAATCCCAAACTCCAGAGTTAGGCTATGGGCAGATCTCTGTGAGTTGGGGGTCAGCCTGGTCCATAGAGTGACTTCCAGGACATAGAGTGAGACACTGTAGTAATCAAACCCCCCTCAGCCTAGAAATAAGCAGCATAACTTCATCCTGGGGCTTTGGCCCTGGGCATGGAGGCCTCAGCTGGAGCAGGTAAGCAGAAGTCCCAGGTTTTATGTGGCTTTGTGACCTTAGAAAAGACATTCCCCAAGCCTCTCTTTTCTGATCTACAAAATAAAGGTAATAGTTTCTTTCTCACAGGGCCTTTAGGAGGACAAGATGAGGAATTTTTATAAACTGTAACAAGTGACAGTTCAACAACATTCCAATAGTAACATACATGCTTGCAATTAAAAAGAAAGATTACAGCCAGGAAATTAAAGAACTAGAGTCACCCATGAGTCTTTGATGACGTCCTCACACGCTCATCTGGTTCCTGGGGTAGGTGGGCAAGAGGGGTCCTGGAAAGGCCACAACCTCGCTCTGCATCTGGGCATCCATTTCTGAGGATTACTCAGTATGCCAAGCTGCCCATGTCCTCAAAACTCTGGAGAATCCAAAGTGAGGAGGAGGAGAGGGGCAGGCCTCCACAGCAGGGCTTGCCCCCAACCCTCAAGGCCGTGTAGAGGCTGATTGTTCGGAGACTCGCCTTCCTCCCACTCCCACTCACAGATAACACTTCCCTGAGGCCCCAGCCTAATCTTCAAAAGCCACTATTCCAAACTTGATCCAAAACAAGGCTGCTGACCCAGGGACTTTGGGGATGCCACTCGGAGCACAGCAGTCACCTAGTCCCATAAATCTCCAAACTGGAAAGGCTAGTTCCCAGAAGGATCTACACTTGGTCTAGCTTCTGGAGATCAGTAACACACCAGACACACACACACACACACACACACACACACACGAGTAATCCTAGTGAGGTGGATACTCTTTCTTCTGCCTGACCCTTCCTACAACACCACCTGCCAGATTACAAGTTTCCAGACAGATTAAAGTCTTAACTGTCCTTATATGAAACTGCACTCGCCACCCACACCCACATCCCCACCCCCACTCCCCACCCCACACCCCTGCCGCTGCTGCCACTGCCTCTTATCTCACTGACACCGAGTGGGCTACCCAGTGTGACTCTGGAGAGAGGAAAGAGTGCAAGCGCAAGAAGTCTCCAGGATTCCCAGGTCTCTTAGTCCACAGACTTACGCCCCAGGGGTACACACAGAATTTAAGTTCAGTCACTCACACCCTAAGGGTGTGCGCGTTCACCCACTAACACACAGATTCCCCCAGTACACTGGTAAACACACCAGGCTGTCACTCACCGAGATCCACGCTCTAGAGGAAACAAAGTTCAACAGCGCACCCGTTGCCGGCTCACAACGCCCAGTTTAGCGCAGTCCAAGGGCTGGGAGCCGGGGCCCTCGGGACAGAGTCACGTAATGGGCTCTCCCTGTTTGGCACTGAGTCGACCGGCGCGCCCGTCCCAAGGCCGCACTTGGCGACCTCTCCCTGCGTCCGTTCCCCTCTAGGCGGCTCCCCTCACCTCCCGGCTGCCCTGGTCCCCCTCCAGGCGCCGCCGCCACGGTTTCTGGTGCCCGAGTCCCATGCCGAAAGGCGCAGGGTCCCACGTGCCTGGAAGCGCCGAGGTCCCCGCCCTACCCCGCCTGGCTCCGCACCCCATGGCCCAGCGCGAACAGGAAGGCGGGGCAGACGCCGGAGCCGCCCCTAACCCTTCCAAACAGATGCTTCCAGTCTGCCACCCGCTTGGGGACGCGGTCCGTCAGTGTCGCCGCCCGGTCAGCGTGTCCGCAACGGCTGTTGAGCAGGGAAAGGCAGAAGACGACCATCCTGGCTGAGCAGAGGCCACCTGCTTCGCCCACCGATTTTCAGAGACGCCCAAGTTTCACAGGACTTGCTTGGTGCTCGCGTGGCTCCTGTCACTGCCCACCCATAGACCTTTATATGACCCACAGCCTTCCCTCCGCTGCCGCCCAAGCCCATCTCACTTACAGATGGACATGCGTTCGGACTGCTGGTACCAGGAGAAGTCTGCCGGTTTCAGCACCTCTGTCTGCTTTCGTTCTTCCTTCAGGTCACCAAAAGGTTCCTGAAATCACCGTTTAGTTTGATCTTTCATCTTGAACTGCCTGAATTCTCTTCTCTGGCCTGCTCTGAAGACTTTCTGCAATCACAAACCCCATTTCTGTCCCTGTCCTAGTTTGAGCCCAGAAAGGAAAGGACCACAACAGCCATCTCAAAAGCTGTCCTGTGAATGAGTGGATGAATGAGTGTCTGCCCCTCCCATTTCTGACTCAGAAATCTGGAGTGTAAGTTCTAGGCCACCTTTAGCATGGAGAGACACATTCAGGGACCCATTTTCTGTGAAATGAAGCCAGTCTTTTCAAGATCCTACCTCCTGTCTCCATCCAGGGAGTCTTGAGGTGGCCAAATAAAGGGACAAGTTCAGAACAGGCCAGGGAGCTTGCTCTCTGCCTAGGGTTGTAGACCTTGTTAGTTGCGCTATCAGGTAACCAAAGTAATGCTCCCAGCCCTTGGAGGGGCCTGGAAAGGGTACTGTCTGCAGCCTTGTCCAGAGTGAGAAGGATGAATTGGCTGAGCCTCTCTGCAGCCTCCTGGGGCCTTCCAGCCAACACAAAGGTTCCTTGTCTAACCTCTGCTGGTTATGGGAGCTGGTGCAGGCAGCTTCCAGAAACCTAGACCTCTCCACAGCCACACTTGTGGCTTTAGGGTCCCAGAGTAAGGGAAGTCTTTCTGGTTATTGAAATCCCAGTGGATTTCCTTACCCTGATCTCCCTTTTGAGCCATCAGATCTTTTGCAGTTACTGCTGCTGCCCCGAGGACCCAGGATAGATCCCAGCCCCTAGAAGACCCACAGGCTGGATAGTGGGCAGCCCTGAACTTTATACATGTGCTGTGGTCCAATTCCTTTACTTTATAGTCAAAGAAACTACATTCCCAAGGTGCATGACATCTGAGTTTTCATGTCAGGTGACCTAATAAGGCCTAAGTACTCAGATTTAAGTCTTCCTTCACTTTTTCTGTGTCTACTTTTCTAAGGTTCAGCCCTCTTTTTGTTGTTTGTTTGGAGCTAGGATCTCCCTCTGTAGTTCATGCTGGCCTAGAACTCACCATGTAGCTCAGGCTGGCCTCATACTCACAGCGGTCCTCCTGACTCAGCCTCTTGAGAGCTGATATTCTAGGCACATGCTACCACGCCTGGATCTCTGTCTTCTTTCTGCACAATGCGTTACATACCCCTTTCTTGCTGTTCTGGCTAAATGTCTTTATTTGGGGTCTTGCCCATCTTCCTGAGCTTCCTGAGTTTGCTGAGTGAGTATCCCCTCTCAGAAGAGCCTGGGAAGCTAGTTTCCCTGACACTCAGATTTTGTAGATCACCAAATCCAGCAGACTTCCCTCCCACCGCCCCCCACACACACTCAGCACTACCTCCCCCCACACACACACCATCTTATTCAAGTTTGATTACCTTTGGGTTCATATTTTCACTTACTCCCAACTTGAGAATTTAAGACTGAAAGAGTTTAGAACCTATATTGATCCAGCCAGGAAATGGAAGCTCAGCGAATCACAGTAAGTACCATATGAAGGGTAGACCAGCATTGAGGGCGTCTCCCCGAACCTAGCAGCCAAAGCAAGCTAATGGTAAGGTCTAGGCACTGTAATGGTCCCCGTGAAGTGTAATGAAGCCTCAGGGGCAACTGCATTAGCAACAGGAGTTCAGGAGGGGACTGTCAATGTGCCAGCCCTGGCTCCCCTGGCCCACCTCACATTAGAAGGCTTCCTGTCTCTCCACCCCTGAGCAAGCATTTGCCTCCTGGCAGGCATCCTCATCTTCCTTCTCTGACTTTTCATATCCCATGAGAAATCTTCCTGCTCTGAGAATCCAAGACGCAGTGGAGGAGTCCCTGCCTGGCCTGGCCTCCAGAGCAGCCCTCCAACCCTCTGTTGTTCCCAGACTGGTGTCGCCCCTCACTGACACGGTCTGCTTCACACTCTCTTAGGGGCTTCCTCTGCCCTTACAGCAGCCCAGCTCTCTACCCTCCACTCCAGGTCTTTCCCTCTTTGCCACCTCTCCTGCTTCCTTTTAGCCAGGCAGACTGAAATCCAGAACCATCATTCACCTCCTGCCAAGTGCTGGCCACTCTCTCTGCCCCTGTGTTTCTCTGTTTGGCCTTCTCTTCTTGACTCCCAACCACTGATCTTCTAAGACCTCCTTCAGATGCTATGCCTCTCAGTATGCTGTGACTGTCTTCTCCTCTGATGGGGATATCTTTGAAGGTGGGGCCCAGTCTGTCCTACCCACAGTTGACTGTCCAGCCACTGGCACTGTCCCTGTCGCACGATCGGTCTCCAGAAGGACTCTGTATAGCTCCCCTTCTTTGTGCTAGTTACTGTGTTAAGGCATCTCAGTCTTCACCAGGACCCTGTGAATTAGGTGTTATCATTCCCATGGCACATCTAGGGAAATGGAAGCTCATATAGTGAGTATGCTATGGGTCCACTAACCCTGAACTGGGCTCGGCTGCAGGGGAAGGCCCTGAAGAGAGTTCTTGGGTTATAGCTGGGTCTTGGTGTTGGGGTCTACACTGGCTCCCACTCTGCAGAGCTGGGCTGACTATCTTGCCTTGTCTTCCTAGCTCCCAAGACTACTGTGGATGGTTCTTTCTCCCCTTCCCTTAGTTTTTTCCTCCCTCCCTCCTACAGAGCCGGGTAGTGCTCCTCAAGTCTCTTGACCAGGGCCAGGGCCTGAAAGGCAAATGAGTCCTGGAAGCTCAGCTGTTGGCACGCCAGGAGGCAGGCGCTCCAGGGAGGCAGCTCTGAGTAGCAGGAAGCCTGATTTTCTGCCTTGGCAAATGTCCCTTCCACCTCCCCTAAAGCAAGATCAGCTACCAAATTTGCAAGACACTGTACAAAATGAAAATGTGGACCCTTTGTTTAAAAATTGTTAAGAGTTTTAAGATGTTGACAGAAGTATTAAATCAAGTACTAGGCCGGATGTGATAGTACACTCCTTTAATTTCAGCACTCAGGAGGCAGAGACAAGTGGATGTTTGTGAGTTCAAGGCCAGCCTGTCTACATAGTTAGTTCCAGAACAGCCAGAGTTACATAACAGAGAGGCTCTATCACAAAACAGACAAGCACTAATGCTACAGCTCTTGCAACCAGGAAGCCAGCCCTGCTCTCAGGCCTTTCTTTCCTCTTCTGTCAAATGGGCTAATGATAGTCATCTAGTCAGATAAGACAAGGAGGAGGGAAGAGAGTGAGTAGGAGGCTCAGTAAATGCATGAGAATTGACTAGGAGTGGCCATGGACACCGCTTCTTCAATGTATGTGGACAGGTGCCTATGGACGGATGTGCACTGTGTATGCATGCACATGAAGGCCTAAGACCACCTCAGGTGTCAGCAGGGATTCTACCCATCTCTTGAGACAAGGGCTTCCTGCTGACCTGGAGCTCACCAATTAGGGCGCACTGGCCAGCCAATGAGCCTAACAGATTTTCCTGTCTCTGCCTCACAAACACTGAGGTTACAAGCATGTGTCAGCAGGCCCCAGCAACTTCACATGGATCAGGGGATCAAGCTCAGGCCCTCACCTACAAACAAACACTGTATGAGCTGAGATAGCTCTCTGTACACACACACACACACACAACCCAACCTATGGACATCAGACTTTTTGGTAGATGAATTCTTGACAAGAATTTGATTCTTTTTAAATTTTTATTTTGTTTTATATGTATGATTACTTTGACTGCATATATGTCTATGTACAACATGTGTGTCTGGTGCCTGTGGAAGTCGGAAGACAGCATCAGAGCCCTTGGGGCTTAAGTTAAATGGTTGTAAACTGCTGTGTGGGTTTTGGGAATAAAGCCTGGTTCCTCTGAAAGGGTATCAAGTACTCTTAATACTGAGCCTCTTGAGTCTTTTTATTTAAAAAAGATTTTATTTTTAGGTGTGTGTGTGTGTGTGTGTGTGTACACGTGCGCGCGCGTGAGGGCACACGCACTTGAGTGCAGTACCTTCAGAGGCCAGTAAAAGCTATCAGATGCCCTAGAACTGGTGTTACAGGTGGCTGTGAGCACCTGACATAGATTCTGGGAACTAAACTCAGGTCCTCTAGAAGAACAGCAAGCATTCATAGCCATCTCTCCAGGCCTAATAGATTATTCTCCTTTTCAAGCACTCAGCCTGTGTCAGAGAAGTAAGTTACTGAGTCTCTGTACAACACTGTCAGTGACTTAGTATCAGAGTTGTACAGAGACACAGTAAGGGAAGCCAAGATGAGAGGCGGAGGGGAGGGAGGCTGAGGGATTGATAGAGAGCAGAGGAGAGATGGAGGAGGCTGCTCTAGACAAAGATGGCCATTGTGTGGACACAAAGACCTGAGCATAGAACCCCCGTGGGGCTGGGCTGAGAGCGTGGATGGAGCATAGTGAAGCTATACATGGCAACCAGGGAGCTGCCTCCTGATTCCTTCCTAGTTGGGATGAGCATTGGGACTGGCTTGCAGGAGCCAGGAAAATGGTCAGTAAGGAAAATTAGATCTGAGTCTGGGCTCTAAC